GGAAGTGCCATTGAGTTTAGGTATTGGTGCAAACAAATGCCATATATCTCAGAAATGTTCCACACCCTAAGATTCCATTTGGGTCAAAGTTATGTTTTAAAATAACCTCTTTGGGGAGTTAAATCTTTTATTTTTTCATACTTCTTGATGAATTTTTTAGATAAGATCTCTGTGGCAATCAAGAAATGACAAATATTTTCATGTGAAAAGGATGAATGATGAAGACATTTTGGAGAATATACCAGACAGGATGGAGCACTTTAACATGTAGGCTGTGGGAGACAGAGAGGACGAAATGGAAGTGGGCCCCCAGGTATGTAAAATATTGGCACTTGAATCAATTTTATTTTATCTATAAATATAACCTATAAATATAAAATATATCCATAAATATAATATATGAGTATACATTAGATATTACATATAATATAACAATATATTAGTTATGAAATAAAATAATATCTATAAATATTAATATATACATTTCTGTAAAAAAATTCTATGGCTATGAAATTGATAGCTTAAAAGAGATATCTAAATTCTGAAACGAAATCAACAAAGCTAAAAGGCAACCTACAGAATGGGAGAAGATATTTGCAAATGACATATCCAATTAAGAGTTAGTATCCCAAATAGAGAACTTATCAAACTCAACACCAAAAAACCCAAATAATCCAATTAAAAAATGGGCAGAAGGCATGAACGGATATTTTACCAAAGAAGACATCCAGAGGGCCAACAGACACATGAAAAGATGCTCAAAGTCACTTATCATCAGGGAAATGCAAATCAAAACTGCAATGAGATAACCCCTCACACCTGTCAAAATAGCTAAAATCGACAATGCAAGCAAGGATGTGGAGAAAAAGGTATATTCTTGTACACTCTTGGTGGGCATGCAAATTAGTGCAGCCACTGTGGAAAACAGTATGGAGTTTCCTCAAAAAGTTAAAAATAGAACTTCCCCATGATCCAGCAATCACACTATTGGGTATTTACCCAAAGAATACAGAAACATTAATTCAAAGGGATGCATGTACCCCTATATTTATAGCAGCATTATTTACAATAGGCTAGACATGGAAGCAGCCCAAGTTTTCCATCAATTGATGAATGAATAAGGAAAAAGTGGAATATATATACACAATGGGATATTATTCATCCATACAAAAGAATGAAATCTTGCCATTTGCAATGACATGGATGGAGCTAGAGAGTATAATGCTAAATGAAATAAGTCAGTTAAGAGAAAGACAAATACCATATGATTTCACTCATATGCAGAATTTAAGAAACTAAACAAATAAGCAAAGGGGAAGAAAGAGAGAGAGAGAGACAAATAAAAAAATAGACTCTTAACTATAGAGAACAAACTGATGGTTACCAGAGCGGGGGAGTGGGGATGGGTGAAATAAGTGATGGGGATAAGGAGTGCACTTGTGATGAGCAGCAGGTGAATATATGGAATTATTGAATCACTAAAAAAAAAAAGGAGGGATAAAAAAATCTGAAACTTTAGAATCTTTATCCTATTTTTAAAGTGTGATTGAATATATTTAATAAATGTGTGATCTTATACTCTTTTGCATAGGAATGCATTTTCAACTGGTATCATTTTCCTTCTGCTTGAAGAACTTCCTTTAACATTTTCTATCGTCCAGGTCTGCTGCTGCTGACTTCTTTCAGTTTCCATGTCTGACAAAGCCTTATTTTACTATTATTATTTTGCAATTAGTGTTGCATTCACTATTATTTTTGAAAGATATTTTGGCTGAGTGAAGAATTCTAAGTAATATTTTTTTTCATTCAGTACTATAAAGATGTTACTCGAAAGTCTTCTAGCTTGCATTGTTTCTGAAAAAAAAAAATTACTGACATGCTTATCTTTATTCTTTATTCCCCTCTACACAGTGTATCTTTTTTCTCTGGCTGCTTTTAGGAGTTTTCCTTTATTATTAGTCTTAAGCAACTTAACAGCAATGTGCACTGGTGTGTTTTTCATGTTTCCTGTGCTTGTGGCTCTTGAATCTGTGAGTTTAAAGTTTTCCCCAAATTTGGGGGCATGACCATTATTTCTTCAACTATGTATATATTTTTTTCTTCCACCACCTTTGAGGGTTCTACTTACATGTATATATTTGGCCACTTGAAGCTATCCCACAGTTCACTGATGATTTGTGTTTTTGTTTTATTTTGTTTTGTTTTTAGCTATTTTTCACTCTAGGTTTCTTCATGGATAATTTCTATTACTAGGTCTTCAAAGTGACTAATCTTTTTTGCAATGTTTTATCTGCTGTTGATATACCATCCAGGGTATTTTCCGTCTTAGATATTGTTTGAGTGTTTTTTATATCTTCTCTGTCTACACTTACCATGTTTAATTTTACTTCTACCTTATTGACCAGATGGAGTACGGTTAAAAGTGTTCAATATCCTTATTTACTAAATCTATCTTTTGTGTCATTTTAGGGTCACTTTTAATTGATTTGTTTTTCTTCTCATTATGAGTTGTATTTTCCTTTATCTTTACATGCCTGGTAAATTTCAATAGTATGCGAGGCATTGTGAATTTTTCCTGTTGAGTGTCAGATATATTTGCATTCCTTTAAATATTAAGTGTTGTTCTGGGGTTTGTTAAATTACTTGGAAGTAGTGTGCTCATTTCAATTCTCGCTTTTAATTTTTGTCAGGCAGAACCAGAGAAGCATTTAATTAAGGGCTAGCTTTTCTTGACTACTGAAGCAAGATGATTCCTGTTATTCCGATACCTTGTGAAATAAGTGGTTTTCTACTCTGCGTATAAGGAACAGGCAAGATTCCTGGTCCTATGTGATCTCAGGAGTTTGTCCCCTCTACATCTTCTCCATGGTCCTTTTCTGGGCCTCACATTGTTTCCTCATATGTTTATACTCAGCAGCACCCAAGTAAATACTTGAGGATGGCCCCCTGCACAACTCTGCAGTTTTCTCTCTGTATAGCTCTCTTCCCTCCAGTACTCTGTCCTGTAAACTCTAGGCATCTTTGGTTTCCCAATATCTCAATTCCATCCTCCAAACTCAAAGAGAATGCACAGCTCTATTTAGGATCCTCTCCCCTGTATCATGGCCTGGGCACTTTCTCCAGGCAGTAATTGGGGCAACCACAAGTCTCCCCTCAGTTGCTGCTCTTGTGTCAGCAATCACTGTTGCCTGATACCCAATGCCCAGAAAGCCACTGTTTCATATATTTTTCTGGGGTTTTTTTTGTTGTTGTTGTTTGTTTGTTTTTGTAGCTGTATCAAGCAAGAGGATAGAGTCAATCCCTGTTACTCCATCTTGGTTGGAAGCAGAAGTTTGCTAATTCAGTTTCCTTTGGGGTTTATATCTGCTGGAGCAATGTAAGACTGAACTTTTTTAAACATTTGGATTCATATACTGGTCTGTTAGGTTATACTTAAAATACTCTAAAATCAATTTATTCCTGTGACTAGGTTATTACTAATGAATCTCATATAGAGTTACACATAAGAGAAGAAAATAATCTTCATGAAATCTTTCTTTATGTAAGCTAACAGTAGTTTCAAGGACATGAGTGTGTTCCTTCATTCTGGAAAAAAAATTGGGAATTTTTTTTTTTTTTTTTTACCATTCTAGAGTACTCAGAATAACTATTAAAGAGAATCTAATTCTAAAAAGTAGTTTTGCAACTCCACTTGCAAATTTAATAACATTAGAAAAGACCCTGACTCAAACTAAGTTGAAATGACCTAGCATGGAAATGTTAAACTACCTCTGTGAACAACATAAAGTGATTTGAAATACAGCCCAGACTAGTGATCCTTTTGTAGTATCACAAACTTAATTGCTTAGAACTTCCTGGATTTTCTTTTATTTATTAGTATGCTAACAAATTCATTATATGAACAAATCTTTTTGACTAAATGGGGAGATGAATGTGACAAAGTTTAAGCAATAGGTAATTTACATATGTAGAATATTGGCTAATTATGAAAGGGAAAATGAAACAGAGAATTTAATACATTTCTTTGGAATTTTGCTTCTACTTATCCAAAATATAGATCCTATCCTAGAATTGTTTTATTTTTTAACATATTGGGCAAACTCAGGATTTTTAGTAGCAAATAATCACAGTCAATAATCATGTATGATTTGAATTGTTTTCTCCTTGAATAGCAACAATTATTTAATTAGTTGATTTGCTATTATCAATACTTAAGATCCTGTGGCAAAGTAAAAACAAAAACTATAGCAATTAAAGATAATCAAATAAAAATATTTTTTGGTATCATTCAAATAACTGAGAATATATTTATATATTTCTTATACAAATTATTTTACATAAGAAGCTCCAAGCAAATACTTTTGGTGAATCAGTAAAGGCATTCTTAGTTTTGTGTGCATCTACAAGATTAATTACATAAAGTATTTGAAGATTTTTTTTAAGTTTTTATTTTAATTCCAGTTAACATAGTGTTATATTAGTTTCAGGTGTACAATATAGTAATTCACCACTTCCATACATCACCTGGTGCTCATCACCTATTTGACCCATCCCCCCACCCCCTCTCCCCTCTGGTATTTATTCTCTATAGTTAAGAGTCTGTTTCTTGATTTGTCTCTCTCTCTATATATCTCTTGTTTTTTTCCCTTTGCTTTTTTGTTTTGTTTCTTAAATTCCACATATAAGTGAAATCATATGGTATTTGTCTTTCTCTGATTTATTTTGCTTAGCATTATACTCTCTAGCTCCATCCATGTAACTGCAAATGGAAAGAGTTCATTCTTTTTTTTTTTTTAATTTATTTGTCAGAGAGAGACAGAGTATAGGTAGGGGGAGTGGCAGGCAGAGGGAGAAGCAGGCTCCCCACTGAGCACGAGCTCAGTGTGGGACTCAATCCCAGGACCCTGGGATCATGACCTGAGCCAAAGGCAGATGCTTAACTGACTGAGCGACCCAGGTGCCCCTTCATTCTTTTTTAGGGCTGTGTATATATATACCACAAAAATATGGAACACTTCACGAATTTGCATGTCATCCTTGTGCAGGGACCATGCTAATCCTCTCTGTATCATTCCAATTCTAGTATATGTGCTAATGAAGTGAGCCCAAGTATTTGAAGATTTTTAAGATATTTGTCTTTAAACAATATAATTCCCATTACTAAACAAGTTGAATATTTTAAAATATTTATTCTTCCATGTCTAACATATATATATGATACCATAGCTACACTGATTATCTTCACTGTTCAGAACAAAAAGCCATTCTGATCTTTAACATTTGTGTACAAATTGAGATCCAGTATCTTTGAAACTGAAAACATTCTTGTTGTCTCCTATATCTGCTATTTTACTTTTCATTTTTAAGCATAACCTGAACTAAGCATCTTTTTAAATAGTTGCTAACTTTTAGTAGATATTTATGTAATAATTATATTTATAAAATTTCAAAGCTATGATACATGTTATAAAATATAAAAGAAATGACACAAGCCCTTAAAACAAAATTTAGAAATATTTAGCATGAATAAAATACCATATATTTCTCTTTTTAATGTATTGATAGCACAAGATAAATTAGTCTTACACTATTTTTTCTTGAATACTAACAAATTTTAGCTTTAAAGTGCATGCAATTTTGTTTCTAAACAGCAGATGGCAGTATCAAATTCTAGATTCACTTTACAATTTTTTTTTCCTTAAACATTTTTTTTTTTTTAACTCAGAATGCAATGCTTGGCTTAACCTCAGAAACACAATTAGCTTTAATTCAGGAAATACAGTTTTACTGGCATTAGTTCCTGAGGAAAAATGTTTGCAGTATCTAGAACGAAACAGTTTCTTCAGAATTAATATCTGACAGTAGTTGAAATGCCAATTGATCAAATTTTAGAGGCATTAACATCAAAACAAATGAAATCAAACTCTTAATCCAACTGATTACACTAATAACCCTGGAACACTCCACTTTAAAACTAGGATAATATGGGGGCGCCTGAGTGGCTCAGTCGGTTAAGCGATGGACGCTTGATTTCGGCTGGGGTCATGATCTCAGGGTCATGGGATTGAGAACAAGTTGGGCTGGCTGGGTGCCGAACCTGCTTAAGATTCTCTCTCTGCCTCTCCCTCTACCCCTCCGTGCCCCCTCCCTCTCTTAAAAACAAAAACAAAAACAAATCCCCTATGATAATCTCCTCTGAACATCAATAGAGATTAGGATGGCCTATGAGGGAAAAGGCTGAATGGAAGTGCGTTAGAACAAGGAAGCCCAAGGCCTGATGGTCACATCGATTCTAAAGGTAAAATAAAAACTAAAAATTAAAATAGAATAAAACAATAAAATTTGCCAAACTGTTCTTTTCTTTCCCTCAAGAACTGTAGTCTAGGGTAGAACATATGGGGAAAGAGCTGAGGAGAAGGAAGAAAGATGGAAAAAAAAAAATAGGTTCATTCTCACAGAAGAGAGATATTCCAGTCTGGTATAGGAAGAACAGATTTATTTATTGTGGAATTATGCTGTAAACACAAAGTCTTTGGTAGAAGAGTGTAGTCAGCAACTTTATCCTGATGACTCCCTTATTCTTATTCTGGTTCATCCCGAGCTGCCAAGTAGGGCCAGAGGTAGAGTTGCCAACTTCAAGTGCTCATCTGTTTATGTGTTCTATTTTGTCCCACTTTCAGCAATGCCAATGATATATCATTCTGTCGTGCCAAGTGATTTTCTTAGAACAACATTTTGGAAATTTAGCCTAAAATGTTCACTTGATCTATCATTATCCCATTTCTCTTGTTTACATTTTTTTTTAAAACATACTTTTCCTGTTTTCTTTGTCACTCAGAAGTGAATTATATGTCTTTTTCTCATCACTTAGCAAAGTATTAATGATTTAGCTTTTTCCTTGTTTCCTACCTCATTCTTTTCAACTTCTTATTATGCTTGATAAAATAGATTTTGAATGTAACTGTTTTAATCCCATTTAATATATGCTTTTTTCTGTTTCAGAATATCCCTCATGTGTAACGTAGAAGAGACCCCCTCCGTGGTTTATGCAATCACTGTTGTCACTTCTCTACTGAATTTGTATAAATGGTTTGTTCAACTATTTCGACTCTACCATAAACAGTGTGCATTTGTTCTACTGACTTAATGACATCAAGAGTAAGATTTAATTGTCTTTATCTATTTTCCCAGGATTTAAAAACAAAAGGCCTTAAGTAAATCACTCTCCATTCCTGGTTGTGCAGAACTCCAGAGTGTTATTACCTTGGGATGTCGTGATGTTTTAAAAAACAAACATACGAATAAACCAAGACAAAACTAGGTGGTGTCTGGAGTTCAGTGAGGGTAGGACTGATATCACTGATCCAGCTGCTGGGGTCCTCTTCACAGTCTGGATTCCACCTAAAGAATAAGGGGGGTGGGCAGGAATAGCAAACTCAAGTATTCACAGGTGACAAATATGTACATCAATGAAGGAAGATTCATTTTTCTTGAAAAAAATATATAGTGCTGTCTTTCCTATTTCCACTTTTCCTAGACATGTGGCACGTTAGGATTAGTTTCAATTGCAAAAGAAAAAACAAAAAACAAAAAACAAAAAAACAAAAAAAAAACCCCATAGAAATAAAAAATAACAATAAATAAAAGTAATTTCTCTCTTGTGGAGAAATTCAGAGATAGTCCGATACTGGGATGGCAACTCTGTTCCAGAAGGTTTTCAAAAACCAAAGCTACATCTAATCAACTACTCTGCCATCCTCAGTATATGTCCCAGGTCCTCAGGGTCCAAAATGGCAGTAAGAGCTTTCCCCATCATCTCTGTATTTCAGGAAGGAGAATGAAGTATTATATCGAGAAGAAAGGGAGGAAAAGGTTGTGCAGCAGCTGTCTTTAAAGGAAGGTTCCGTAGCTGTCATATGACACTTACACTAACATTAACTGTCTAGAACTTAATCTCGTATCCCACCAAGCTGTAAGAGATTATAGAAAATGTGCCTTTCTCCATTCTACCTGGATGTTATCCCTGAATATTTCTCAACACAGAGATCTATGGAACCAATATCAAAAAGTCAGTGTAGACACAAACCTAGTCCTTTAACTTTGAGTAGAAGTACAAATGCTGTATTGTCTCTCTCATTTTTGGTTGTGACAATCAAATCCAAATGAATTTGATTGAAACTAAAATAAAAGAAAATGCATTATACTCTGTTGTTATGGTAACTAGAATGGTTGAAATACACTCGTTATTTTCACAGCATAAATGATACATTTCTAACCATGTATTTTAAAACAAATTGCTGCCGTATTTGCCTAATAGAGTATAAAGGAATATTTGTTTCTTAGTTGGCAAAAATCACAGTTTTGACTAATTTGACACATTTTTAGCAGTTCTTTAATGTATTTGATTTAATTAAATTGTCATCTTGTTTTCACAATGAGCAACAGAAAAATAAAATTTAAAGGTCTAAACAGAAGAAAATTAAATTTGAATCCATTTGGTGAACCACTTAAAATTTTCATTTGCAAATTACTAACAGAACAAATAAGTAATTTTACTGGATATGAACCATCTCAAAGAGAACATGGCCAATTGCAGTGTCACTTAGGGATTTAAAGCAACCTACAGATTATGTTCTTAGAATCCACAAAATGTTACAGCCCAATATTTGGAAAATCAACATTTTGCTATGACATGTGTGTATATGATATGTGCCTATGGATAGGTGCATATAAAGTTGTAAAAGATAAGGCAAGTTTTAAACTTCTGACCACATTGGAAACTTTCAAATATTCAGTTTTTTGATAAATGTACCATGGTTATATAAAATGTTAACATTAGAGTGAAAGATATACAGAAACTCTCTGTACTTGATAGACTTTTGTAAATCTCTTATTATTTCAAAATAAAACATGTTTTAAAAATATTCAGTCTTAAAATACATTGGAAACATTTATTCAAAGTTTTATTGGTGTTATGGGTAATATATTAATAATATTATATATAGAAAGACAGAGTGAAAAAGTTAGTTTGAATATGACTGTTTTAAGTCATTCACGTTCAGCTTTATCAACTTTACGGGAAGTTGGTCCATATCACCTCCCAACCTAGACACACGGTTAGGATACAGTAAACATTTACAGCAAACAACAGAAGCATTGAGATATCAAGGATTCACTATGTATCAGGAAATGATAAAGTTGCACAACCTTCTAGCACCTATGTCAGGCTGCCTTGGAGAAAGCATATCTCGCATTCATGAACAATGGTCTACAACTTTGAAAGGCAAGTGTGAAAGGAAGTATTGACCTTAGTGATTCATTAAAATGTTGGAAAAAAAAACCCAAAACACCTCATCCAGCTTTCCTTATAACGCAAGTTGTTTTCCTACCTTCTTTTTCACAATTAAAGCTACCACCATTTTTCCAGATGTCCAAGAGAAAAAATTAATTAACATAGAAATGTATGATTTTTGTTGCTGAAATACAGGTTTGTATTTATACTCAATCCCTCCTTTCCATCAAACCTTCCAATTCAGCATGCTCTTGATCTGAACAGCCTGGTGCCTGCTCCCCCATAGTCTCTACCTTTTATTATTACATAATTCATTCCATGAAACACCATCAGATTTTTCATCAGTATCTCTGGACCTGCCCTGATGCACTCCCCCCACACACATATTCAAAGATTTTGAGGTTTAATACTGAGCTCCAGTATTCATTCTATTCAGTTCAATAAATCAAAAGCACATTTTACTACAGGCTATGGACTAAACATTTTTATTCATAAGGAATTAAGGCCAAAAGCCTAAACTTGTGAAAACAGTGGGGAAATTGGCCATCCAGCATTGTACTCATTCCTACTGTCCAAATTTAGTCTATTTTAGGAAAAATGGACTCTGAGCTCTAGATCTGCTCTCCACATCGTTTCTCTCTTCACTTAAAATACCTACCCGTTCCCCATTTCTTTCTTTCCAGTTATCCATCTTTATGGATATCCATCTATTTGAAGGATCTTTATTGCAATTTTTTTCTAAAACATACAGCAACAAATGATCTCCCCATTTGTTTTTAAAGAATACTTATTTAACAAGTTCAAGGACATAAAGC